CATTGACAATGATATTGTGAACTCTGGCTCAGATTTACCCTAGGGTTTACTACTGACATACTTTTAGGTGCTTCGCAGTCTTTAAGGCACCAGAAAGCGTCTGGAACTGCTCTTTCCTCAGTTTTGAGATAATAACACCAGTGATTGGGAGATTTCATATCTGAACGTGCACCTGGTCAACAAGTTGCATTTCGATGCTTTTGAATGTCGTTGGAAGGTAACATCTGGAACTATCCTATTTCAATGATCTCCTTTAGGTATTCTGAAAATCGCGGTCTGAAAGTGCTTTGAAAATAAATGTTTTGTTATTCTCTCATATCGCGTGAAAATTGGATTCTCAGGAGAGATGAGCATCTTTAGTGAATTGCATGCTTATCTTTCGATCGCAATGATAAAATAAGTAGGTATACTACTATTTCACAAGTACTTCAAACATCGTCATGCATCAAAGCATTCATGGTAGTACTTCAACGTCAAGCGTTGGTACGTAGATTGCCCAAGTCACTGAAATCTGTTGCAGTGAAGTCAAAATTTACCGATTAATTGTTTAGCGAACAAAAATTGAGAAATTCTCGCAGACCAAACTAGATCATCAAAAAATAGAAGCCATTATATCGTGTTTAATGGAATAACCTATATTGTGTAACTGCACTAGATATAAACAGTTAATAAAGAACAAAGAATGACTGTCGTGACTAAATGGCTTGGTGAATAACACTTTGGTTTTAGAGATAGGTCCTGGGTTTCGAGTCTTGGTGGGAGAAACATCTTTGACCAGGAGGCAGGTACCTACAGTTGACGAGTCACGAATAGGACGAAACACGCGTACTGAACTTCACTGCTGCCCACTATTTCATCATTATTATTATCAGATAAGTGAACTTTTAGACAGTTGAGTAATCCCAGCAGTCATTCACTGCAAGTCTTTTTCCATACATTTTTGTGCTTCGTTAAAAACGATTGCCTTGGCTCAGTGTGAAGCAATTGCATTATATCTATATAGAATAGCTTAAAATTTTCCGTGTTAGGAAAGGATTCGCCTGCAGTCAGGCGATTGATCCAATCGTAAAGATCAAGTGATAGAAACAAATTGAAAGAAATTTATAGCAGTTACTTATCTGACTCCTGTACACTTATGCAGTGTCAAATACTTCTTTGTATGTAGTTATAATTTCCAACGGTCCATCAAGTAGTATAAAAGTAGGACGCCATAATGATGATATAGGAAATCATATTTAGAGTCATATGAAATTCAAGTTAAAGGAAGCACTCATTTTTCGTTTGAACAAGCAAACATACAGCTTCAACATTAATGTGAAATTACGGAATTAAAATCATATATATTGTCAACAAACTTATAAGGTATAAAACGCCTATTAATGAAAAATAACGGTTATGTTATGACCAAAAGTTGTAATGTGTGATTATTTATCAAGGTAACCGGTGTTATTTCAACTATTTTTATACATCTTTAAAGCTTTGTGTGATGAATAGGTCTGTACGAGAACCTAGTTGTATTTGTTCTACGTAACGCAGCATGTCTGAGTACATTTGATGTGAATGAGTAGTACCATGATAAATGTGGAACTTAACTTTAAGGTACTCACAGCAAAAGACAAATAAAAAGACGCTACCATTTGATCAGTACTGATCGGAAGAGGAGTATTCGTAATACCAAAACGTTTAGGACTGTTCGTGAAAGGTATTGTGAACGTGATTGATTGAAGAAGACTGAACTAGGAGCTCTAAAAATGTATGGAGCACAAAATATCTTCTGACTATTCAGAAACCAGTGCTCAAAAAAGATCAGAATTTCCAGTGTCTGCTGATGACGTAGCTAATCGCTTAACTAATGTTTAAGTTGTTTCGAGATTACTGTACAAAGTGTATTTTACTCATGTAATGTACCTACTTACTATATTGCAGCAAATATGGTCAGTAAATATTCTTTATTACTTCTCAACTTTTCACTCTTGTTGGGGAAACCACGCCGAAACGACACAAGAAAAATACACCTTATTCAATGAAATGTCTCAAATTTGTGTCCAGGTTTGTATAAACCGTCCCATTCATTGTGTCTGGATCTGGTCAGACATGTTTCAAATTCATTTGTAATTCTTGACAGAAATGGTAGGTCACTGCCTGAAAGACTTCGTAGTAAGAACCGAAACAAATCAGAGAAAAGCTATATGTGTGATCCTAGGAATGCCAAGCTTGAAATATGAGGTTTGGCTTCCAAAGCAGTTTCAAGTGTTAGCTTTCGTCCTAGTTTTGCTCTTCCTTTCTAAGAAGTCGGAACACTTCAGAGAAGATAGCAGTGGTGCGTCGAAGGCGATGATGAACAGTAGAGTCGCCCAATATTAGTTTCTCCATCAGGTAGTTGACATTTGGAGCCTAATTAAACAAAAACTGAGTACTCATTCCCAGCTAATTCACTAAAGAAATAGAAATATATTTACAACGAATTACTACAAGCAACCACTATCTTCCGTCCTTCAATTTTAAGCCCAAAAATGAAATTCATCGGAACTGTGAATAGTCTCTTCCCTCACGTTTAAAAATGTTTCTTTATTTATGTATAGCACACTTATAACTTTTGGTTAATTTAATCATAAAATTAATTAAAATTATCGAGTGACTTTAAAGGCCAACCTAGTAAATGGTGAAACAACCAATCATGTTTCTCTATTCCATGAAAAATTGTCTTCCCGGCCAAAATATAGCAATGTGATTGCTTATTTTGGGAGTTATTGGGGTGGCCTATAAAGTCGCCCAAATTGTCCCATGAGTAACGTCTGGCAAGATAAAAAAAGTATCAAGGCAAACAAAATCATAAAAAGTAGTACAGCACAACCGGTTACATGAGAGTTGGGAATGTCAGGTCCGTAAAAATGAATCCTTAGTACCTAAATTCATAAAGTTTACCTAGTGGAAATTCGAATTTCTCTTTTTTGTACATTTGTTTTTGCTTACACGTATCACTTGTTTTTACCGCTCTCGATGATGCTGTTTTTTATTGGTTTCTCTTCCACTTTTAATATGCTGGTATTTCTCTTTGCCCCAAAGAAATTCCAGTTCCATATAAGTGCATAAGCTATGTTGATATTTTCATAATCTTCCTATCACAATAAACTTCTTTAGATCAGCCTAATCTCTTTTGTGTTAGACGAACTAGTTGTTGAGCATCGTGTTTTGTTCATCCGGAAAGTAGACAAAGCGCCATACGCCTCCGTAGATGCAGAACTTAACATTTTGTTTTTGTGATTGTCTATAAATCACACTTGTTTTGCATGAGCTAATAATACTGTCCATTCACTCCGGCTGAAATGGGGTGTAGCAGAATTAGAAACTGTTATATCTCCATTCCCAAAGAAAAAGAGCAGCAACTAATCAATTAGGAGTGTTGTTAAAGTGTCTATCTCTTGTTCTCACTCGTTAACATCCTGATTAGGCTTCAAGAACCTTACACTGTTTCCACATATTTCCTTAAATACTGTTATGCACATTTTGTGGGCTAGCGACCTGACTTTGTCTGAATCAGATGATGTGGCGTTAGTGACATCAGTATCAACTTGGTACATTAGATAAGACTAGTGTTAAGCATTTCCCTCAACCCGCTAATCGTAGGATCAAATAAGAAGTCCAGAATGAAGTTAGTATCGGCAATTACGACCAAGCAGTGAGGTTATGAACATATCAGAAACCAACACTTAGTGCTTAGAGTTTGAATGATTAAGTCACTTGTCTACAGCTCCACTCCTTACCATATACCACAAAGTTTTCCGTCAGTTACTATGACTAAAGCTTTGTGCCCCTGTTGATAAAGCAATTTTATTACCTGTTTCTTATCGATAACCGTACACAGCAAATCATTTAACTTTCTTATTTCATTCTTTTACAGTTGCTTATCGAAACAGGTCGTGCTATTTCATCAGCTTTTTCTAGCAAAATGAAAATTTGGCCTCAGCAAGAATGAGTTTTGTATGCAATTAAGGTCCCCATTTACAATCACTTATTGTATCAGAAAATATCAGTTATGACTACCTGGTCACTGAGTAATTCATTAGCACCATATGAATTGTGTTCATTTTAAATCATGAACGGTGTAAAGAAAAAAAGGTCAATAACCTATTCTTATCTACTTGGTGATAGCGGCGGAACCCAGGACTTGCGTTTAGTCCTACTTTGAACTAGCCAGCTGGACGTATCTGTCTTATACTGAGTAGCGTTGTTCCCATTAAAGACTCCAATCCAATACCTGCTGGTTCAAACTCCGAAGTTTTCTCCAATGAGCTAACGCATCACAAGAGCCACCTCTTTTATAACAATATAATAAATATAAGTTATATTTGGATAAATCTAAGCGTGTTTGAAATAAGAAATTACAACATTTTGTACGGAAGTTTGGTCCAAGTTTTTGCAAGGAAATAACTAAAATCCAATCCAGTTACTTTTGGGCAGTGAGTTGAATGCACGACTTTTGATCTGTGATCAATGATAATTTGAGATTTTGGTTATTTCCCTGAAGAAACTTGGACCAGAATTCCATGAGAAAACTTGAAATTTCTTGTTTCAAACGTGCTTAGATTTGTTCAAATTTTTACTCGGTCCTCAATATTTATGAACCTCTCCGGTCAAATCTTGAACAAGATTCATATAAAATATAATGAATATTTTGCAGTATCCAGGCTTCCATGTAGGAGCCCATTTGCCAACAGAAGTAGAACATGAGATATAGAATTGTATTTGTGTAAATCACAACGGGTTTGAAATCAAATATCGGTAAATCAATGAGAAGAGAATTCGCTAACACTATTCACCATTTTACTTCAACTGAAATTGTATACACATTCACCTCATCCTTTCAATTTGTACTTATGAAAATCCCTAACCGAATGGATTGTCACCAATGTCCTTTTTGTCTATGTACAGTCAAGACGAATATGAATTGGAGTTCATACATACATACATACGACATGCAACAAAAGACATACAAGTTCACACTGAATGATTAATTGTCATAATTTAGAAAGACAATGACCATAAGAGGATTGGACGAGGAGATTAAATATACTTTTTTGAATTCATTTATATATCCTTGATATTTTAATTTTGATTATTTCCCTGAAGAAGCTCAGACCAGACTTCCGTGCAAAACGTTGGAATTATTTGATTTCAAACCCGCTGTGATTTACACAAATACAATTCTATATCTCATGTCAACCTTTTACTCAGCGCCCAATATTTGCCATACTATACGATCAAATCTTGATCATAGTTTATGTAATAAGTAGAACAATTCGACCAAGTATGGTAACGGAAATTACAAGTATCATTAAACAATAATTAACCTAGTTTAATGGAATGAGGAAAATCTCGTTTTACAAACTCAAAAGTACGCTTCTTTGTTAATTAATTGCAGCACAAGACAGAGGATTGTTTGACATAGAGACTAAAAAATGTAGACCATTCAATAATGTTAGGAGTAAAACATATTGCTAGTAGTTTTAAAGTCATAATGTGCACATGTGAACGTGGAACGCTTATGAGTTTATGCATATGGTTGATATAATAGCTTTTGCAAATAATTATTACCCCCCCAAAGCAACCAAATGCTAGACTTCGCCATAAAAAGCTCTATCAAGGAGACGATCACAATATAAATTCAAAAACCTCTGCTATGATAAACGATGAAAAATCAGAATGATGACGAGAATCAAAGTTTCACTAGCCCCTTGGTAGGCTGGTTTCCACATACATATAACTAAGTTAGAGTTAGTTTATCTTTTCTGACTTCAAACATCATGTTCGTGGATGTTTTGTATTGACATTGTTTCCTAAATATCCACTTAGCAATGTAGCGTATCCTCTTAGATTCCATCTAACCAAGTGTAGAGAACAACATAATGAATTACCACAAAAGGTCTTCCTTGAAGTTACTTATTTGTTCATTGGTCAAGAAATATTTCGTAGCTTAGTTACGGACACTCACTTACATCACTCCTTTTATGATTTCAGCAAAATATTTTAATTAACGGTAAAAGGATAGTTAGCAGGCATAATGTATGTAAAGGTTTAATGTATATGTATAAATGTGTGGAAGATAGTTTATTTTTCTCGTCGCCTATAAAGAGGGTATAAAATACATCACGAAAAAAATATTCAGTTCATTGTTGTCTATTTTCTGTCCTACTGAACTTATATCCAGCTAAAATGACTCATCCCATCCGGATATCTCATCTTCTGGTTCCTCTGTTTCTTCTGGGTACGCATCAAAATGTCGTAGATCACTCTGTGATGTTACCTTTATTATAGGAAACAATAAAACAGAAATTAAAGAGAAGTGTAGTGCAAGTTTACAGAATAACGTTTGAGATATATTTTTCTTTTGAACAGTTATATGTTCTTTAAAGAGTGATGATCAGGGAACTTAAGGATCCATTCTACTTAGGACAGTTTATGTAGATGTATTAAGCAGTCTCTAATAAGCCTGAAACGTAATCTGCTGAGTTTTGAGAAATTTGAATTTTTCTGGGTGAATTTGAAAAGAGCAAAAAAATAATAGGAGCACATTTTTAACGCTATCTGATGCTTCATCTACAAAATTCTCGACTGTGGAGTTGGTTAAGTATGATAATCGTGAACGATATCAACCCATTTAACTTTAAACCAACCTTTCCTCTCCTCACTGATTGGATTTTAATTTGCCAGGTGGTTGAGTAGATTCTAAAACTCAGTGCCTATATCACTTTTATTGGTTAATTTCTTTGGCATACGAAACTTGATGATAATGATTCAGATCCAATTTGGTTCAGTTATACACTGGATAGGTTATGAGTTTTTTCAGGTGAGTATTTCTGGAAAGTCTCCAGGCAGCTGCTCTTTTATTAAAATATTTGTCATGGAATCATTGAGATCCTTACAAGTTCTGCTTAAAAAATTCGGTATACAATGCTGAAATCACTGACTACCTTCTCAAAGCCACTGGCTACAGCCCTCAATTTTTCTACAACTGGATTCGACGGTTCACTATCTTATTCCGGTATCTCATTTCGCTAACACGACAGTCGGGAGTTTTGTTGAAAGAGAACCGGTCTGAATTTAGTTCACTAGGTTACCGTTCAAAGGTAATCATGTTTGTTGATACAGAAACTGAAATTTCTTACTGCTGGCTAATTTAGACACACCAGCGTTAAGAGTATTTGAAACTTGTTTTAGGATTAAGTATGTAGCAAAGCATTCTGTAAATAACATCGAAATGATACCATTTATAGTGCGAAATAATTGATGGCGTAGGGATGTTCACATCCTCGAAGTGACCAGTAACTTCATTTAAATCAAGTGAACGCTGAAAATTGCATATTTCTTGCTACAAAATCGATTTGCAGATCAACAAATGGTTCACAAAATGCCAAATAAAATCATAATACTCAATGTTAATAAAAAATTAACCAACACTTAACACTGGGTTTGTCTTTGACTTTATCAACTCAACAACAAGGGGTCAGTTGTGATCCGAATATTTCAGTGGTACCATCTCTGAACGCATTACTTGATTACGCAGGTCTACATTTTTGAGGGCAAAAGATTTCTCTAAAAATTTGTGTCAAACACTGCTGAGGAATCCCAAGAAACCTGGAACCTGGTTTCAGGGTTTCCAGGGAACTGCCTCGAACACCCTAGCGATAATGCTTGAAGTTAAAATCTATCATTGTTTGTTTGAATAATTGGTTTCAAGGTTTCCACAGCTTTAGATATGTTTGTCAGTAGACGTCAACAGGTATCGAATTTGTGATAAGAATTTCAGCTCAATTGATTTGAGTCACAGAAGTATCTTGAATTTAACAATGTAATATATGGTTCCTCTAGAAATAGGTCAGCGGAGCAGAATATTTCTAAGATATCTAATAGGCAATCAAATAATCCCATCTACGATTAACTGATGAAAAGCTGTAGGTGGATATGACAGATGACATAAAAACTGATTTGAACTACTCAGCTTCAAAATGATACAAATTAACACCCACATTATGAAAGTGTTAGGGATTCGTTATCCTCAGAAATTTACTAATATTAACGATACTTTTGCAATTTTTCTTTGTAAATTTCGGTATCACTTTTTCTCATCCTCTTTCAGTCTTCATGAATCACTGAATTTTTAACACTCTAAATGATACTATTTGAATATACGTTTCTCCTTTGCTTTTGATATAATAATGTGTCTGCTTCAAAAGTGTTATTGTTGTATATGAATGAAAGAAATTTATGCATAGATTGTATTCTATAATTGAAGAAATGTCTTCACTGTAACAACATCTTGTTGTAATCTGATTGGTGTTGTAGAGGAACTTGTTATTTGTTCATTATTTTAGCGGGATTTCGTATCCTGAATACAGAGTTAACATATATCACAACACAAAGGTACAGTTGGATAAGTCGAATGTAAAAGTATTTGGTGACCATTTTTTGTATATTCAGTTTTTTTACCAGCTAAGTAGGTCAGAAATAATCCATTGAATAGAAATGCAGATATTTCATTTGCAAACTAGATCAAACTAAATAATAACTCTCTTTTATGGGATTTTAGTCAATACTAGAAAACATTCTTATAAATCATATAAGGTACTTAAAATACTAAGGAAAGCATAAAGTAAAACTGCAAGTAATTCTGTATAAATGACATGATGCTTCTAATTCTTAAGACTAAGCATACTACCTAGACTAGTTGGAAGGTACTATATATATTTTCACTTACTTGATCAATATGACAACTTGATTACAAATATGAACCTTCCAGTTCAACATTTGTGATATATGATAAATATAAAAAACGATAAACAAAGAGACACATATTATAAGAGTAACACCTAGCTTTTTAATAACTTTAAAGTAATTCTCATCAAGAAGTGAAATCAGCTTGGTACCATCCAGTTTCCCGGTTTGCCTAACACCATTAAACCATGGAGCTGAAATGCACTAGTATGCATTATACAAGCTTAATTAGTTCGCCATTGACTGCAACCATAATTCTATGTCATTGGTCATCAGGAGTTCTCACTGGTGAGTTTTGTGACTCTGTAAATCGTGATTTATCATGTGGTTACTACAACAATAATCTCGAAAGTATAAACTAAGGAAAACTGAAGGATTTTTCCGTTGACATGGTTCTTAAGGAATCGATTAGATCGAAGACAGTTTTTATCGTGAATCACTCTAGCTTCATAGACAATCAGAATCGATTGCTTCATGTAAACTTGTCATAAGTTAAAATTTCAACTTTTCATGTACTAGAGCTTTATATAGAGTTAACTCACCTGTCTTTCATGGGGTGCTTTTAAGGCGCGTTTGCGTAATCCAACCCAGTCAAACCCTTCAAACCATACATGTTTTTCAATTTCTCGTAGTCCATCTTTGCCCACACCATATCGCTCAGCTGGATTTTCACTGTATAAATCAAAATAAAGTCAATAAATATTATAATATCATTCAAATAGTGTAAATTATTCAAAGTTCTTTCAAATTTTCGAATATAAGAGTGTTTTAATGACCAATATTCTCATTCGGCTTTGAAAATCTCTATGCATAAAACCGTCACTACAAATGAAATCTATTTTACGCATTGTAATTAACTGTTAATCATTGTCTTTTTTCCTTCAATGTCAGCCTGATTTCCAACTAAGTGAGAACACCTTGATTGGAATCCTGTTTGATATAGAATTATAAGTTACATGTCTTTAATCCTTAGAAAAGCTGTTTACCACAGTAAGTGTTTCCGTAGACATTAGGACGTGAATAAAGAGTAGCTGGTGTTTTGCAGTTCATTCAATAGATTGACGGGGTCAGTAACTGAACGCTTCAAATGCACACGTTTTTGAATTTACTGTAATTGTCTAGTTCATTCAATGTTGAGTAAACCAGTCATGTAGGAAAATAAATTAGACCAAGGTAGTCACATTTAAATTTGTGTGCTTAGTTTTCTGAAGAACCATCTGGAACTACTGCCTTAAGTACCAAACGTTACATTACCTATGCATTCACAAATCATTAAGTAGGCCTCTCCATCCTTTGGAAGTCGACAAGCATTTATTTGGTGCTAGATGCTGTGAGTCAGTTAGTAGGAAATCTTAGACCCAAGTTTTGTGCTTTCTGACACTCATTAACAAGGCATAATCTTCCCTCGTGAGGAAATCTATATTTTTTTGAGGATTCGAACCTACGTCATTGAGTATTGAAGCCAAACACTGGTCTGTTCAGACAGCTTTAGCAGCATATCCCAAACAATGATAATTAATAACTATTAGATAGATAAATAAGCTACTTACTGGTAATCGATTCTTGTAAATACTTATTTATATAAAACCTGATCATTAACTTAAAAGGTTAATGCAAATAGTAGAGAATAATGAAGCCTGGGTGGCTGTTTAGTCAAATGATGCGATTAAATTAAATCTTTTTTAAAATTCATCCATCTTCCCCGTATTCGGAAATTAGGTCTGTAAACAAACAAATTAGAACCTCAAATTATTTGTAATACGCTCTAATGTACCAGCAGTCAAACGTTCTTCAGCTAAGTGGAGAATATTTGTAGCTTAGATGGATGGTCTTGGTTGTATTGTGTTCTCCGAACTGGGTTGTTTAATCGTGAAGCTTTCATCGTCTTTCTAGACGACATCATCAGTACTAACTTCAGTATGAAGTGAGCTGTCAGAGAAAGGTCAGAGGTCAAGCAGAGGGAAAATCTAAACAGTCAATGACACAACAATCAAAGGAAACAACCAATCACAGACCATATCGTCAAGGCAAGCTACTAAATCACTCATGGAGAGATATTGACAGCTCACTTCATACTGAAGTTAGTGTTGATGATGTCGTCTAGAAAGACGATGAAAGCTTCACGATTAAGCGACCCGACTCAGAGAACATAACATAAGCAAGCTTTTCAGCTTTTTTTAAGTTGTAAATTTCTTGGCACAATTGTGGACAGGTGAATGCATTTGGAAGTATTGCTCAACATCAACGATACAGGTTATGATCACCATTTGACATGTGATAAAGCGCTCCCTAGCACTACATATTCAGCTTAATCAAACACAATTTATGTTACGTGTTGATGCAATATCGATATACGGTGGCTTAGTTCCTCACTGTAAACTCATAGGTGTTCTTAAACTTGCAAGATTGAAACAAATATATACTATTCATAATTCTACATATCCTTTGCTAGTGAAACTGCAGCAGTATATGTATGTATTAGGGGATTAAACTGAGTTTGTTTGAAGCAAAATAAATTGAAAATGGACTGAAGTTTCACTTGGATTGTATATGACAAAGAGCCATCAGTGAGAATCTGCATTTATGTTAACAATTTAAAGCATAACAATAAAAACAGCATAAATTAGAAATCTGATCCCAAGAGGTAAGTTTAGTGTCGAAAGTTTTAGAACGGAAAGAAATAGATTCTAAGACTCTTACTGAAGTTATAGAATTAATTTCTGCATAGAATGAAACCTGTACAATTTATCACATGTTCGACAAATAGTAAATGAGAACAAATCAGATCACGTTGTTGATACATGTATATCAAAATGATAAAAAAAGGAACTAAATATTGCCATATATGCTATGGTTAACTTGGCGACTAGCGGTGGGATTCAGGACTTGTCAGCTGGATGAACCTGCACCCGAGTGAGTAATGGTTTTTTCACTGAGACTGGAACCCAATACATATCTCTAAAAAGCTAAAGTACTACCCACTAGGCGACTGATGCTTGACAACCATATGTTGAAGAATGGGTAACAGTTGTCATTAATTGACTCTTGTAATCTCCTGTCGGAATACTGAATCTTCTGAAGCAATGGTTACTGGGTTGTAATCCCAGTAGGAACATCATCAATCATAGGGATGTACGTATATCTAGGTGAGGAGTCCCAAATAGGATGAAACGCGCGTCCTGGATTTCACCGTTAGCCACCATGTAAATTATAACTAAAATGAATATTTAGAGAGTATCCAAGGCTCCGTATAGGAGCCCGTCTCCCATAAGAACTCGAACAATTCTATTCAACGTAACAATTGAAGAATAAGAGTGTCAATAAATAATTATCGTTATCAACTATTAGTCTGTGGGTTCAAAGCGAAGTTACAAATATGTGCACTTAAGTTAATGGGTATGAAAACAGTAATATGAATGAGAAATCCTACAAAACAAGTGAAACACTTAGAAGTGCTTTAGTTTACATGAAAAGACGGAATTCTGTTTATCCACATACACAACTGTATTTAAAATCTAGATTGTGTTGTTTGTGATGTATGTCACATTGAGGATTCAACATACGAAATACTGATTTATGATAAACGGTACGCAAGTTACACAAATAATCCTGTGATAACTGGACGATTTAGAAATCGAAACTACGACTACTGTTCATGTCAAATTTGTCATGGCCACAAAATAAACGTAGAAAACATGAGAATTATTCAAAAAGGAATTTCAAAGTAAAAGAAAAATGAATAGCTAAGGCGACCGACATTATGTTGAATACTGATGTATTTAACAAAAACGAAGGCCTAACTATCTAACGTACTTGGATAGTATGTCAAAAATGAAGGGTGACTTTATAGGCTATCATAACAACTACGGGAATAACAGATTAGATTTCTGTATTTTACGAAAGTCTGTCTCTCTAGCCGAAATACAGAAACGAATTGGTGATTTTAGTTGTTGTTGTTGTGGCTATCTTTAAAGTCTCTCTGTATGTTCTTTATCACTACCTTACGTGTACAATGTGTCATTTTGAGGAGTAACTTTAAAGGCAACCCTAACAACGATCGAAATAACCAATTAAGTTTCGTCATTTCGCCTAGGAGGGGAGATTTCCATAAAATACAGACGTCTAAATGACCAGTTCAGTTGTTACTAGGGTGGCCTTTAAAGTCACTCCAGCCAATTACATTCCTTTATTTTATGGAGAAGTACTTTCCTAGGAAAATATTGAAGCTTGATTGGTCTATTCAGCAGTTGCTAGGTGGCTTTTAAAGTCGCCCTCTGAGTCACTATTCCCTTGAGCGTGACTTTAAGGCCATCCCAGCAACTGCTAAAATGACCAATCACACTTTGGTATATTCCCTGGAAAAGTATTTTTCCGTAAAATAAAGGAATGTAATTGAGTGTCTCATCAGTTGTTGGGGTGACCTTTAAAGTCATTCATTGATAATAGTCATACTTTTTTCCAACTTGTTGTCATTTTTAGGGTTCTTTTAAGGCCACCCTAGCAACGACAGAAATAACCAATGAGCGTCTACCATTTTGGCTGAAAATGGATACTTCATAAAATAGAGAAGTTTGATTGGCTATTTGATTTGCTGCTGGAGTGGCCTTTAAAGTCATTCCATTTTCATATGCATATATGAACAACCTGTTTCGATTTGTTTCCATTTTCTGCTTGTTGTGCATATGATAACTTATACAGGTTTTATTCTGTTCAAAAGTGACTTGCATGAGGTTGTGGAACTTCAAAAGTTCATTTTATTATTTCAATAGGATTTTAAATACATGTATTTTTATAAACTATTAACCCAAAGCTAAAATTAATAAATTTTACCACGTCGAATTTCGGTGTTAAAGTCTACAAAATGTAGCCGATTAGTTATAGACACTGCATTACTCTTTCCTTGCAATGTAAGTTCAATGGAACGCTTCAGCAAATACCTTTGTGTTAAGAGTGTTGGAAGTCTCAAAGTTACCTACAATTATTTCGTATAGCTGTTTGCTTTTCTCACAAAAAATCAAAAAGTTATGCTATAACTGTTTAGTGTTGTCGAAGCCATGAGGTTTTTTATAAGATGTTTCATCATCGCGCTAAGTGACTTCATCAGTACTTGATACTTTGTTGAGTAAATAATGATGAGATGTTCAAGAAGAAACATCAAAAGTCCAAGAACACTAAATAATTATCACCCTCATCTTGAAATACAAATTTTCTCTACTATCTGAAATATTTATGTGTTTACCCATCATCGCAAACCAATAAAGGCTTACCGACAAAGTTTTTTAACCAAACATTGAGCGTTCTTAGACATCTTCGTTGGAAAATTGACAGCATCTATCCCTTTAAGTATTATTCCATATGTACGCATTGTATCTGGTGATTCAAACGGCGGTCTAGTGAGCAGGAAAATAAAGTGCGAAATGAAATCGAGCAGTAAAAAAAAGCAATGACCTTATTCTGAACAAAGTTGATTGTTTTATAGAAGCAGTATGTTCAGTCGGTCACAGGTGATATATACTCATTGTTTAAACGAATGTGATCTAAATTGAAAACAAATTTATATATCAAGTTAGAATTCTAGCGAGTTACAAAATTTCATCCATCATATTCGAAATACAGTTGGCTCATAAATAATTTTTGTGTTGAATGCTGTAGTAAGAATGCTAATCTGTGGTTCACAATCCATCTAACACTAATCGAAAATACGCGTTTATATTCAACGGGGATTACTACCTAATTCATCCATCCTTTTTAAGTAACGGGATAATAAATATATACAGGGTAAGATTCTTATGCAGACTATTGACATGGAGACTCAATATGGTCAGAATGGTTAGACTGTCTACCGTTAAAAATTTCAGTGATACATTTGAGGTTAGTTAGTGAGAAAAGTATCTGTAAAATTCTACTCCAGTGAGACAAAAATTATATCCTCTCAAATTTTATTAGCTAAAGGTCTAAAAAATTACAATGTATGCAGATCTTAAATTTCAAATGTGTTGAAAAGGTATTTTATTGTTTATTTACGTGGAATGGTGACGCTGAAAGTCTTTCTTAAACAGCACATCAAGTTTTAAAGCTGGTCCTATAAAGGTTTTTCAACTGCCAATATCATCTTGAGTCTTTTGTAAGAGTGAAATAGTTCCCTTGAGATGATAACTATTGAAATCGAAAGGTAAAAGGACGATTTTGTTCAACTTAATCTGTCTGCCTGGTCAGTCACTGTTTCCGCAAATATATTTGTGAAAAAACTGATGCCTGAAAATGGTCTTTACTGATAACATGACGGTATTTGATAAACTGAATTTTGTAGAAGAGAGTTGCAGATACATTCAACAAGTCAGTGAATAAGATGATAAGACTTCATCAACCAACGAGGTATATCATGCCATTTTTTATCGTCAATAGACATTCAACTTGGATAATTAAACTGGCTGAAGTTAAGGAAACGCGACTGTATTTAAAGACGCTATGTCGTTACACACGAGTAGATCAAGTGTATAATTGCGCTTATGATCAAGGTGACAGTGGACTATGATAATATCATTACTAAATGAGAGGTAGTGTAAAGAAGAGAAATAATTACTTAAAAACGAATAACAGGACTGAAACTACAAAGAATTGCTCTGAATGTCTTGTAGAATTCAGGATATTAGAGCACAGGGAGTAGCATGTATAAATAAACAGTACAGTACACCTCCTGGAAAAGTCTATAACTTGATATACTGGATGATTTTCTTCATATTGTGAGTGAAGAGAAGATCTGTGTCTCTGACAGACGTATTGCTCAGACTAAAGACAACCTAGGGTGAAAAGAAATGTAATGTCAAGTGGTCTATGAATTTCAAACTTCATTTAACAACAGTTTATCATAATTTTGTGGATTATGTTGTGACAGAATCATACAATCGGGATACTGAATGAATGCACTGGAACTTGACAGTATATGCAATTATGTCTACGGATATTACGATTTACTACATTTTATTCATAGTCTGTAGTTCTAAGGTGTCATACTTCAAGACATGTGGATCCTCTCAAGTTATGTATATACCTTCAAGTCAAAAAGAATTTTCTTCTATATAAACCAAGAAAATGTCTTTGTTCTCCAACAAGGACAGTGACACTTTGCAAAATTCTAACTGCAGTTTGAATAATCTAGTTTTCAATCAGTTATATAATCTGTGTAGCCTATTCTAGATTTCTGTTTTGAGGTGATAACCTTACACTGAAAACAATGATAACAACTAGAAGACTATTTAAAGTCTGGAACTGACAAATATCACTACAATAAAACGAACCATCAGAGGTTTTTAGTTTCTTACGATATACAGGAAGGTTTGTGTAAGAATACTAGTCCGGTTCCTTTTATGAAGTTTTGCATGTAGGTCATTCAATGTGAGTTTCATTTGGAGAATTTAGCACATACTACTGCTGAACACCTTGAGTAGTTTGGAATCCACTCACATTGATCTGTTGTATTTTACCAGCCAGATCAGAACACCGAACTACCATTTCGCTCGTTTGGGAAAGAGTTAATCAGCTGTGTACCTGGATAAATTCATTTCATAGATCCGAATCAGTTCAGGTCACCTGAATCTGGTTAGCTGATTTGTATGGACCGGTATACCTAAAATAGGAGGATCAGTTTGATCATCCTAATTCAACGGTACTCCATTGCGTATTTAGAAAAAGGTGACAGTGGATAAATTAAAAATACTGTGAATAAACAAATATTCAACAGGAATCACTCCATCTCGAATAACGCCTCATTTTAAGTCACATACAATGGGGAAATACATGTTCTTGAATCTCCATTTCTTATTTTTACATCTACAAAGTTCTTGTCATCAATATGAGGGTTAATGAGCTGTGTGTACAAAACAGTCTTGTTCAAGTCATTTTATTTTGGCAGTGTTATTTTCTCTGAATTAGATAGTTTAATCGTCAAGTTTACATTTCCAATCCAGACAGTATTATAAGCACAAAATTCAGAAAAAATGTGACTTTAGGAAAATTCTCTATTGGTGGCGTAGTAGCCTGTCCAGATCCCCTTGAATCTGATTAACTATTCCTGCTGTAATCTTGTCATTATCTTCACATGTATTTTGACTGACTGTCACACTGAGGTGAACTCTGATCTTATTGTTGTTTCTCATGTTCCTCATTATTTGACAGATTGGGTCAATGTCAGTAGGTCTGTAGATAACTGACTGACCTGAGACCAGGCCCCTAAAATTCCTTTGACATTCTTCATATTTCCTTTATCCAAGATTTACAAATTTTCCAAGTCCAATCCATGTCCACAATTTTTTGTATCCATTGATATGAATGAAGATATATAGCGACACTTCACCTCCAGTTGTTGTTCGTGTAAACGAAGATGAAAAGAATGACCAATGTCCAATGCAATATTTTTTACAGTTTCTGAGGGTATTTTCTGTAGATAATGTTAGACTTATCTTCCTTTGATATTGTGTCTTTTGACCTGCACGACATAGACTGAAAAGATTTGGTGTACTTGTGAGCAACAGTAATTCCGATAGGTCTCAGTAAGCTGGCTGTGATCTCGAACCCTACCTTTCCAAGGAAGGTCAGTCCATACATAAAGAACATCTTTTAGATTGTAACTAGATTAGATAAGTGTTTTTTTTACATAATCTAACTGCTAGTAAGCTATTGCAAAAAATTCAGCAGCCAAAAATTTAAGATTACTGTATTTAAGCTGAGCAGTTCACATTGAAGATTTTTGTGTATATTCTGTTATACTGGCACTGATGACGTCCAGCATACTATTCACCACTATTTCTAGATTGAACTTTGTTGTATCTCTGACTGTAGACAAGAAGTAATCATGTAAATGCAAGTACGTCACTGTGTGTCGGTCTTGAGATTTTGTAATTTTTAGCAACGTTTGGTTATATTATAGTGTATGGGCATGCAACACACGTCTAACAGTGAAAGTAAATTGGAAGTAATAAGTAGTTGCGACCACTCCTCTTCACATTTACCATTTTTCTATCAGAACCTTGGAAGGAATTACGGCGTCTTCGTCAGTTGACGAGAAGTCAAGCTTTCATTATTTGGTAAACTATCATAATCTTAGTCATGCTTTTTAAAATGCTGGGTGTATATTTACCTAATTGATGATGATGAAAACTAAAAAAAGGCACTTACAGTCCTGTCAATAATTCAAACAACAAAACACCTAGTGACCAGTGGTCTACAGCAGCATCATGACCCTTGTTCAGTATAACTTCTGGTGCCATATATTCTGGTGTTCCACAAAATGTCCAGGTTTTAGCTCCATATGGTAATTGCTTAGCGAATCCAAGGTCTGTCTGCGTGTATAGTTGACAAGAAAAATAGAACAGCAGTATACAGAAAATGCATATATATATTCAGCACCAGCAAAATAAAGAGATGATTTAAAGCAAACTACTAAACTGTTTGATCTTAATGCGAACTGTATACACAAATATCTGTATATATATATATATATATATATATATATATATATATATATATATCTGTATATATCTGTATATCTGGCATTAACTGAATTTTCTTCAACAATGTACTATGTCTCTAACAAGTGAATTGGTTGTGGCTAGCAATGGGATCCAGAACTCGGTTTTTTTTCTGTTTGGTACTGGTTAGCCCGACGTACTTGAGTAATGGTGTTCCCACTTAACGCTCAAACCCAGTATCCATCGGTTTGGATGAGAATCTTAGATTCCACTGCTAACCACAACCAAGTCAATTATTATATATAAATATCCAGGTAATATCGAGGCATCCTCATAAAAGCCACCATAACGAGGATTTATAGTATCAACACAAAATAATGATAATAATATGTATGTTTACGTAGGTTATCTTCTTTAAAGTGCAGTTCAATAGATTATATCAACAATAACGGAAATAATGGAACAGTAATGTTTTACTTGAGATACGTCAAGGCCTAATCTTCATGGCCGTTACTATGCATGATAAACTTGGAAGTCATACAGGATTTCTGTTACAGGGAGCGCTGAGTTAAGATAACTCCTGGGAGATCTCATTATGAAATGAGAAAGTATTCAACATCTCCAGAGTGTCATCTAGGAAACTGTTCAAATATCAGAGATGTTCCTCGTAAATGTCTTCAAACATAATGAATGATTTCGCTTTCATATATCCAAAAGTTTAAATTAATTGTCCTTCTCTAGAATTAACTACTCGAATTTATTATTGATGCTTTGATTTATATATTTATCACCAGCTGACCAACAAAAATACCTCCAGAGATTGAGTTAGAGTGTAGCTTTATTCCCTTCATCAGTCATCCTCCTTTAAGACAGCTTGACCGGACCAACTCGGCTCTTCGCACCCTTTACATTTACATATATTTTTGGTTACTAAACTATTCGTCAGATATTTAGGTCTACGCAAACGTTGCATCCTAAATATGCTAGCTAGCATGTCGGATGTATCGTTGGAGTTGGTTTTGCATACAACAACTAACATCAGTATAGTTGTAAAGATACCGCACTAATGGCGTAATATTTTAGCAGAAGATACTACTACTGAACAACTTGAATGGTTAGAAACCACTCAGGATAATCTGAAGTATTTTGCCAGCCAGTTAAGAGTGATCTGTACACCGAACGACCGTTTGGCTGGTTTAGAACCGAGCTAATCAGCGGTGTACCGGGACAAATTCAGTTCACAGAAGTGAATTAGTTCATATCGCCTGGATCTGGCTAACTTGCTAATTAATGACACTTTTGTGACAAAGATCAAACCCTGTAATCTCGCCGAGTGGTTTCCAGTGGAAACCTTGTTGACACCAGAGTTCGGCAGTTGAAAAACTACTCAACTGTAAGAAGTGTCAACGTGAACCATGCAGTTTGAAAATCATTTGAAAATTGGTCATCTTTTTTAGGTGTAATATTTTATATTTTGTCAAATATCATCTTCCCAAAGTTTTCATACACTGAATTTACACTACACACAAATTTGCTTCTATCATTTAATCTATAGATACAACCTGAGTATGGGTTAAAACTTCCCATAGAACTTTGTGTGAATGTCTGTCTTAGTCGAATGATCAGCAAACCTCAAAATGCAAGCCTTTATGGTATTGAGAAGAGTATAAGACAGGAAGCTTACTATAGTACTAACAGTAAGCATGATAGTAGTTCTTAATGGCTTTAAATGCATTTGACACAGACCGATGTGATATTTATTATATGGGCTAGCTAAATTGCTCCTTTTATTGATAAAGATGCACACTTACTAGTTTACAGTATCCTTGTGTATCCAGAATAATATTTTCTGGTTTCAAATCACGATAGATAATATTTTTCCTGTGCAAATAATCCAACGCTTCGACAACACATGCCACATAGAATTGTGTTGCTTCCTCAGAGAAAAAGTACCTGGTTATTTTACAAAATAAATACAAATTTTGTTAATGGTTATGTAATAATAAGTGATATAGTGAAACTGGTAAAGAGGTTAAGCTGTGAAATGGTTACAGGTAATTCTGGGAGCATAGATATGTATGTAATGAAAGATGCATGTGTTTATAACAGACTATCCAACGCCTCATTGGGAAGCATCTTTAGGAAAGCAGAATCAACTGTAATTAAAAAACTTTTGGTAGCTTATGAAACTGGCAGCTAGCCTTCTGGTAGATTCTATTAACATGACAATACATTGAAAAGGCTGGAATCTTACTAAGTTTGACGTAATATCAAGGTGTTATTCAGCGTGTATTGATCTAAGTTGGAGAACCAATAAAAATCTGGGAACACTAAATAGCAATTTCATGCTAATATGTGACTTCTGAGCAGTGCGCAGTCACAACGCCATCAGAGATCCAGTCCAGGACGATCGAGTTTGGAAATGAAGCAGCCGTTTTAATTCATTTGGTACTGGACTCATCAGCAATTTACGTGGACAAATTCAGTGCGCCTCAAAACCTAAATGTCCTGCGTTCCATCCCTCGCGTGATTGTAAGCGCATACTACCTAGGAGTCTCACACTAGGACGAAACAGCTCTCCAGTACTCCCAGGTTTTCAATGGTTTTCCGACTAATGTCAGTCCATGATGAATATCAACTTGAAACCCAGAAATCCCCACAAAACTTAAAACTGTATGATGTAATATGTTGTCTAATCAACCTTTTTTTTAGCGCTATTACTGTTAGACTCTGAATAGATAAATCTATTGGTTTATTTAGTCTTGTCTGTAAGTAAAACGATATCGATTAAAAATTAGAACGTCTTCATCATGAGATTTCTTTTATTGTCAATGAAACTTTGTCTTCGTAGTTGACATCCACCAATAATCTGATAGGATGATTCAAAAGAAACTGTGTCACACCAGTTATTGGGATCATTCAGGGTAAGCGCTTCACATTTCATCAAGAAAGTATAAGCATACTTTTCATTCATATGAGTATTGCCATATCATAGACTGCTGTCACCCGTAAAAGCTGTTTCCTTACGAACTTCTGATTTGTCATTTATCTATTAAAACAAATGCGTTATTTGTTAGTAGGCAAAAGACGGTATATTAAAGAAGTGAAGATGTCAGAATGACAGTGTGTTAAAAAATCGATGAAAATGTTCTGTCACAAAATAAATCACCGGAATAAATCACCAGAATGCGAAATATAGAATTTCTGCGTTAGTTGGTTGGAAGCAGTCAACAGAAAGCTTTAGACCTAGGTTTCGCACTTGCTTGGACTCGTCAGCAGTGCACATCTGCTGCGTCGAAGAGACTCATGCCCCTGTAAGGTTCGAATCTGCGTCATCCTACGTTGTAGTCAGTGACATTACGACTGAGGTATCTGGGCTCTAATTGACCCTCTGTAGGGATGGATTTGACAAGTCATTGGTTAGTCAGGACTAGATAACATCAAATTGCAATTCACTTGGTTGTGGCTAGCAGAAAAATCCAGGATGCATGTTTCCTCCTGTCTGGGACTCGTCAGCTGAATGTACCCACAACCCAGTGAGTGATATTGTCCCCACTGAAACTCGAGCCTTATATCCATCGCTTCAAACGTCAAAGTGTTATGCTCTAGGTCATTAAACCGCGGTAACAATGGACTAAACGCGCGCCCTGTATTCCTCTGCTAGCCACAGGCAAGTAAGTTACCGTAACAAATATTCAAACATTCTAGAGACATCCTCATACGACCTCATATGCCAACAGAAGTCGAACATTTCGATCTCGTAAATCAACGGAGAATTAGTAGCACATCAGCAAAAGTTATGACATTAAATCAGTTGTTTTTCAGTGCCCAATCAATATTTATGGAATTTAACGATTTACATTTAGCGAACTGAAAGTGTTAGGAAGATCTCAGAATGAAATGAGGTTATTGATGATACTAACACACTGGAATTAGGTAAAAACACTTTACTCCTATCTCATGAGTTAAAATGAAAAGGGGTTAAAGACAAATAGTTTGTATAAGTTAATTATTTTATTATCTATTTAGAATAAAGTAGTCTGTAAGCATGCTATAAATATCTTACAACACTAGATTAACCCAATCCACTGATTAATAACGTCACTCTTTATAAGCCTAGAAGTGAAATCGCAATATCTAGCTGAAACTATTATAGAGAGACGCTGGAAATGTTTATCAAAGACACTCAAGTTTATCGTTCTCAAACAGATGAGTGCCACCTTCACAGTTAAAATGTAACATTTTTCACAGACCCATATCAATGGGGTATTTCGGATCCGTTCTTTTGGATCAGTTATTAAGTCCAACTAATAACATAAAGAAATATCAACTTCAAGTATGGTTGATAACGACAATAGTGGAGACCAAAATGTTAGTAAGCTGGCATGTAAACCTACAAGATTCACCATTTTAGACATTGACTATTTGACATACTTAGTAGGTAATGGTTTTTTAAAAACGGTGAAAACTGTCGTAGTTGAAATTATGGAAACAGAGTTCTGTATATTGAAAAGCTATTTAATCCCTTTTTTAAATGAAGTAATTCAGTATAACACTGACTCAGTGTAACGGTCAGTAGTTTTTTAGATTTTTCTCTGGTCAGCTGCACAATCACAGTCACCACAGGTTCTATATGTAACACGATGCCTTGTGATAACTGTCTGATGTTTATAGAAATTTGGTGTCATTCCAAGCTGAATGCCAGCTTGAGATCAACAAATCTCCACAAACTTTCGAACTGAACTACCGTTCAGTGCTCACCAGTGACTTGATTCAAGACAGATTTCTCGAAGTTCTAATGGGAAGTTGTGACAGGTGGGGCGGATCAAGTCGGACATAAGGACAAATACTCAATGATGGCAATGGATGACGGTTGTACTACATCGCCAACTGACAGAAATAAGATAATGTAAACCATGGGATTCCGACTCAGAGACTCAATGGTACCGAAGTCGCCCTGAAACCTGTAGGTCTTGGGTTCCATCTCTAGTGCATTCGTTGGTGCACACTGTTGAGAAGTTCAATGTTAGGACGAAACAGCTGCTCAGTACATCCAGTTTTTCAATGGTTTTTCAATTATGTCGGTGCAGGATGAGTAGCAATTTGGAATATGATACTCATGGATGGAAATTCCACACGCATATGTGTTTTCCGTTATTTCAAAGGGCTTTATAAGTCAAACGAAGTGTGTCCTCCTGAAAGAGAAGGTCTCACACATTTTGAGAAACATGTCGTTCCATATTTGATCATTTGTTTCGGTAATAAGTTCAAAAAATAGTGACAACATGATATTGGATTTGAAACTGCTTTTCATCGTTTGTATTTGCAGAACTCTTTGACTTTCCTTGTTCCATGGAAGTTGAAAACCCTGAACTACTCAATTGGCTCCTAGATGGAAGTAGAGTTTTGTGTTGACTAAGCTACGAGATTTAAATGAAGCTCAGATTTGATTTTTCCAGAAGGTAACCAGTGTGTAAAACTGGACAATCAATCACAAAAAACAGAATTCTTTGAAAGGTGATACGAGTTAAAAATGTACAAACGTTGAAATTATTCTCCTTATTGTTGTAATGAAGGTGATAGGCATGAACAACCCTTTGTTTTAATCCTTAGCCTAAATGATAAATTACTGTTCATGAAAATACTGCTGAAATATGAACAATTTTGACTTATCAACATCAAGGAGTTAGAGAACTAATAACTCCAAAGTGAAGATTGAGAATCTATTCAATATTCAGTAATTTTAATAGTTTTTATTTGGTTTTATTCTGTGATAGAATATACTTTGAAGTTGGTCTTTTACATCTTAAAATCATACATATCACAGTAAACCACCTCTATCTTTTGAACGGTTAGTGGCTAGCAGTGGAATCCAGGACGCAGATTTCGTCCTATATGACTTGTCAGCTGAGTGTACCTGCAACAACATTAAAACTACATTTATCAACTGGAAGATTTTGTAGAATTTTCGTTTAGTCTAAAGTAGACATAAGAAAACTAATAAAACCATTCAACTATGAGATTCATACTCGAAGCTAAACTCAGTTTAAAGAAATTTGATTAAGATCGCGGTATCTGACGTAAAATGATTGGTTGCAGTCATTTTACAGATCATGAAGTTCTACAAAAGGATAATGTTCTTTTACCGGAACAACTGGTTAGATAATACTACAAATCTGTAATAAAGGATAAAGGCATATAAACTTCACTATTATGTCATTTAGGTGGACTCTACTTGGAGGTAGTCAATCTAAGAAGGCTGGCTAACTTTCTGCTTGTGATCTACATACAAGCCATTCAACTCAAGATTGTCACGATATTGACTTAAGCGGTTTGCAAGAAGCATAACTAGCTTCCTTTCATACGAAACTTGGAACTATTAGGCTAATAAAGGCATGTATAGTAGTAAACATTCATAGATTCTTACAGTAACCTTGAAAAATTGTCATCATTATAATCGAGATACGTAAAAGAATTCCTAAACTTTTTCAGCCTTCCAATGATATCACATCGTTTTGCAAATATCAGATTGAATGACATTTAAACATCAGAGTGGCACTTGAATATCGCTTTTGTATCAATCAAACTATATTGAAAAAAACACTAGTAATTAAAATTATCGGATTTCGAAATTATATGAGCAAACTTTCGTTTTGTGTGACAGATACATTTTGCTCAGATGAAAAACTATTACTCCTTATAGCTTACAAGTCCTACTCATAAAATCAGCATTGGCTTTCAGCAGTATCTTTGGAGAAACACAGTGGAACAGATTTTCAACCAATTCCTTCTCCAAAGTGAAATGAAGTAAATTTACTGTGCCTATGGTAGGCACAGTGGCTGTTATCTTAAGAACAGGTCATCTAATACCCTAACTTACGGGTCTAGTAAGAAGCATTAAAACTAAAAACTGGAAAGAAAACCGTTAAGTTTAAGGATAAAGATATTCGAAA